TAACGGTCTCGGAGAAGGCCATCAGAGGTTGTCCGCAGGGCTCGGTGTTAGTTTCAACTTGCTGGAACGTCATGTTTGATGGGCTTCTTAAGGTGTTGGAAGCTAGAGTAGGGGATAAATTCTTAGCATACGCGGATGATCTTCTCGTATTAGTCAGCGGTGATTCCCGCAGAAAAATTGAGGTAAAAGCACAGGAAGTAATCGACGAAATAGGGAAGTGGTGTAGCTTTGCAAAACTAAAGCTTTCGTCGCGCAAGACTGAGGCCATTGTCATCAGGAGTGACCTTGTCAAAAGGGCCCTAATAGGCAGACGGGGAAGAGCGCGTTCCGATAGGAAGCGAAAAGCGGCCAGGGCCAAAAAAGCTGACCTCGCGGGTAGGCCACCAACCATCCGTTTAGGCAATAATAAGATTCAATTCAAGAAATCAGCCAGGTACTTTGGCATCCACATAGATAGGGGAATGGGTGTATTCACCCATTACAAATATCTCAGCAAGGTTGGGTCGTTTTTTAATAAGCTAGGCAGGTAGGTAGGATGTCAGTGGGGACTGCGTTTCGGAGCACTCTCAGCCATATACCGGGGCGTGTTCGCACCGACGGTGGCATAAGCTGCCGCCGGGTGGACCGACCTGTATGCAAGGGACGAGATTCCTTAAGTCCCTGCAGCGCAGAGTGCTCATTTCGATGACCGCCGTGTATTGCACGGCATCGACTGAGTCGCTCTGTGTGGCTGTAAGCGCGGTTCCCGTCGACATCTTTTTTGCAAAATAACGGGCGCGATTCGATGTTAGAAAAGAGAGAAATGCCAAGCTAGAAGATAGGATTGTTTCCTAAGCAGGGAGCAAAAAGGAGGCCTTAGGCCTCGTGAAGGTTGCGGCAAAAGAGATGTGGCAGGATAGATGGTTTTCTTGTGTCAAAGGTCACATCACACATGCTTTCTTCAGCGATGTCGGGGCTAGAGTTGGTGCGTTCAAACCTGACCACTATGTCGCAAATGATCACTGAACATGGCGACTTCCAGAGGCGCCTCGCGGATCTGGGACTCGCAGACGGTGGATCTGGGACTCGCAGACGCTTGCGGGGACGGCGAAGACACTGCGTAGCATTACCTCTTCCATTGCCAGTTCTTCAAACCGCAGAGAGAGGCTCTGCGGGAATTCGTTGCAGTCGGGGCCTGGGAATGTCCGGCGGCAGCACCCTTCTTGGTGTCGTCTCCAGAGGCTTTCTCGGTCTTTGACGACTACTGCAAGAAGACTTTTTGGATAAAGGGAGGTTGTTGGTGGATTTCTTGAACAACTAGGCCGAGGGCTTTCGGAGACCTCAGTTATGGAGGTGTGGCCTCGTAAGCTTCGCGAGATCACCATACACCCGGGTTGTTTAGGCGTTTTTAGCTGAGTTTCTAGGTAAGGTTTAGCTTCCAAACTAGGCAGGGTCCCACACGTTATCCAATGGCTGGTGAGCAGGATCTTGTATCCCTGCATCCAGTCATATCCCATTTCATTTAGAACACCTAATCCTATTACCTGTCCAAAATATCAATGGAGTCAATAGGGTCAGAGGTCCAGGATCGGGACACAAATGGGCAGGCCTCCCCGTGGTTCCCTTGGGCGTGGCACGTGCGCAGGCCGCGTGGGGGCTAGCGGTTTACCGCACACTCCATGCGCGATTGGAGGGTTTGGAGGCGCGTACGGTCACGGCCGAACTGCCTATCCTGCAAAGTACGCCCGCAGGCGCTGCTGGATTTTTCCATCGCCCGCTTTCTTGTCAGTCGTTGCCAAATCTGGAAAGATAGAATAGATGCTTGGTAGCATATAGCCTAATGGCTGAGGTCGCATGTCGTGGCACGTTACGCCTGTCAGGACAAATATTAATTTGTTCATTCAGAACATTGTTTTAGCTTACTTGGACACAAATACCAACTTAACGTGACGTAAAATATAACGAGAAATTCAAATTGAAATTTGTCCGCATTTAGCTGACGCACACTATAATCACTCGCATATCTTTCCAACGAAGGATCATATCGTCCCTAATTATCATAAATTCAACAAATTCGCGTCGTGAATGGGTAGCAACTCCTCGTATTGGCTCATACATTGATGCAATACTCTGTACACACATGCACATGGTAAATTGAATACTTTTCAACAAATACTAAATAGTAATATCTCTGACATTGCAATTTTAACCTTTCTGCTTTTTTTATTGGTCTGTCTATGGGCTGACGCAAGTGTCACACTATATAATATTATATCTTATTTAAACTACTAATAACATAAATATATATATTACAAAGAAAGTTATTCAATGAATCGATTCTGTAATTTTTTTCGTTTAATCAAGTGGCGCATCCAGTTTTCCCATAAATCGCATTTTTAAACAAGTTATTTAAACAATAATTTTGATGGGTAGGACTGCATGTGGAGATTAGGCGCTCTATATTTAAGTTTCCTGTGAACTTAGCTTAACGACGAGAGCGCGTCGGAGGCTACTCATCGCTCCGGAGTCTAAGTTCCTCGCGGATTCAGACTGCATGTGGCTCTCGAAGAATGACTCTCGTTTATATGCGAGTTTGCCCGTAATAATTTTCCGAGCGCGCTGAGCACGTGGGATAACTGCTGTCATTCCCGTATGAAACGTTTTCCATGGACGATCGCATTATATTGAGTCATGCTCGATTTCCGAATTAATCAGAAAAATTACCGAATAATTATTCAGCGGATTGCTTCTGCAGATTAGCATCTCAATACTATGACTGAGAAAACTAGTTACGCACAAAGCTATGAAAAACCGAAAACCAAACAAAAAATCTTCTGCACACCAGACCAAACAACCTAACTTCTGATTTCTAAAACACTTTCTTCGCGACTGATGAAATGACAAGCGAAACAAGCCGACATTAACTGTTAACGCTAATGTACGATAGATAAAGGCAGTCTGACTATCTACGCTAAAAAGCGCACCTATATATCCGTCGCGAGCGGAGATATCCACAAGCCGACTGGTCGTGCGTTACGCCAACCCACGGCAGACACCGCGGCTCGCAAGAGCGACCGTTCTCGCAAGCGAAAACGATGAACGCTGTCGCTGGCAAGAGCGCTTTATCTGACGCGCGGCAATCTGATTGTCGGATGCTTCGGCGGCAGCGGCCGACCCTCCGGGTTTCGATTACCCCGAATGTCGCAGTGGGTTTCGTCCTAGCAAGAAAGTAGTTTTAAAGTTTCCGCTTGTAGCCATTATTAAATATATTGTCGAACCAATTACCGATGTAACAAATAATTGCAAAAGTGAAAGTTTATATTAAGATAAAGCTGTGCTAAATTTGAAACCTTCACTAATAAAATTTTTTTTTCGTAAAAAATACTTAATAAGACAATGACATATTTCATTTAACGGTGGATAAGATCTACTCCAAGATAATAAGGGGACAAATAAATTAAGGCAAGTAAGAACTCTCAACACTCATTGCCCTTGATTTATTTTGACTCTTATTTATTGCAAGATATTTGTTCCTCAAATATCCGAGAGCTTAATTTTTAGGTTGGTGCAAATGAAATGTCTTTTTTGAGTGTTTTGTATTTCCCACCCCTTTGTATTACTTTTCTATTGTATGTATACTGTGTGAAAAGTACAGGATCCACATGTGATTTAGCGCAAATAACTTTATTTCTATATTGTACTGTTAGCCATAGAAGTTTGCATTAACGCTGTAATAGAAAATAGAGAAATTCGTATGATTTTCTTATACGAGTTCAAACTTGGTCATACTGCAGCCCATGCAATACGTAACATTCATACTGCATTTGGTGAAAGTACTCTAATGAAAAAACGACGAGACGTTAATTTGAAAAATTTTGTTCAGGGGCACAAACCTCGACAATTTGTCTCGCGGACACGCACCTTCCGTCACTGATGACGTTGTTTTGAAGGAGATGGTTGAAACAGATTCAAGATTAACAGTCTGAAAGATTGTCAAAAGATTCGAAGTTGATCATTCAACTGCCATCCGAAATTTAAACAAGTTGGGAAAAGTGAAAAAGTTGGATAAATGAGTCCCCCATGAAATCATAAAGAGAAACAAATTGAGACGTTTGGAGATCTGCATTTTTTTGCGGTTGCGACAGAATACACATGGAAGTTTACAGAGGATTGTGACTTATGATGAAAAATGGATTTTGTACGACAAGCACCGATGTTCTGCGCAGTGGTTAGATACGAATGAGGCTCCAAAATACATTCTAAAATCGAATCTTCACCCCAAGAATATGATGGTGTCTGTGTTGGTCTAGCAAAAGTATCGTTCACTATTCATTAACCAAACAAGGTGAGGTTATAAGTTCTGATGAGTACTGTAATTGCCACCATGCACCAAAAACTGTGCGCTCAACAGCATTGGTCAACAGATACTGCATGTTGCTGTTGCACGATAACGCTAGACCACACATTGCAAAACAAACCGTTCAAAAACTCGTCGAGTGAACATTGAAGTTTTTCTTCACTCTCCCTATTCTCTAGACATCTCACTAACAGATTATCATCTTTTCAAGCATCTTGGGTGCGATTTTGGCGGGCAAAAATTTCAATGAAAAAAGAAATGTGAAAATGCATTTAAGGAGTTTATCAATTCAAACTCTCCAGATTTTTTAAAAAGTGCATTAATGCATTTGAATCAGGTTGGCGGAAGTGTATTGAAATAGGTGGAAGCTATTTTGATTAGTTATGTAAGTTTTAAATTTAAAAAATACAAGTTTCAACTTTATACTTATAAACGGCCATTTCATTTGTACTAAACTAATACATTCATTAATACAATTAATGAATGAGTATTAATTCAACGTTATACTGCATTTTAATTTTGATAAAACTGTTCCATTCATTGGGCGATGAATATTTAACTCACATTTTTATTCAGTAGGAATTTTCTTACATTTCCATAGTAACTATATATTCTTAAAATAACTTTATATTAATATATTATACATGATTTATGGCATCAAGATGAATACATAGTTTACGATATCCGAACACTCTATACATTTAACAGAATTTCATTTCTCGTTTCTCCAATATATAGTGCATTTCTAGGATATAAAAATTCAATGATTTTCTATTGCATAATATTAAAATAAATGCATTTAATCTTGCCAAAATGTATTATTGCTAAGCTTTATAACTAATATTTTTTCGAAACTGTTGCGCTATGTTTGGTCTTCATTCTGATTCTTCAACCACTGAAATTTAAAATAGTTGAACCTGTTCATTTATCCTCGCTTTTGCCTCGTGTTCGCTGAAAAAAAGAAATCATGACATTTTAATTCAAACTATAAAGAGGATCAAATTGATTGATTCTTTATCAATCATTAATCTAACACAATCTACAATTTTATCAAACGTATCAATGATTACAATTTCTGGAAGAAAATTTCTTAGATGTAAGGAAATATTAAATGATCTGTCCTCATCAGAATAAGATGTTCACAATCTTTTGAATACTTTGGATGAACATATATGTGTCAGTTTGTAACAACACATTTGATCCATACACATATTGCAGAGAAATCCGCCTTAAAATATAATCTTTCAGAATACGTATACAGAATGGCCTACGTAATGTGTTACAATACAAAAACTATAAATATATTTGTCGTAGCAAAAGTTATTTATGAGAAAGTTTTATTTATTCAAAAAGTCTTTCCACCCATGTAAATAAAAATTCTCCCTGCTCTTTCTTAAGAGGGACGGGGGCTAACTTCGTAATTTCAAATGGAATCTCCTATAAAATATTACATATGTGGGTTCTATGGGAAAAACCAACTAAACTTTATCTGAAACATTTCTTTGAAAAATGCTTCTATCAAAAGTTATAAACATTTAAACATTTTTCTTCTCACATTCACTGGTGATTTTTCCGGAAAACTTTGTTTTATGAGATTTAGAGTACGAGATAAGAAATAAACACACATAGTACACTTACATTTGGAGATAAACACACATTTATTTAGTCAGTTCTAAGTTGTTTTTCATGCTATCAATTTCGAAAAGTATGACTTGATTTAACATGGAAGTTGATATGTTGTTAATTTTGGGAGAATATGAGAAAAATCCTCAACGTGCGGCACAATTATTTTTTAAACGTTATAGTATTATAAAATCGCACAGAGCATTTGTTTGTCTGGAAAAGTTCATGCGTGCATGGTCAACTAAACGCAATTACAAGACAAAAAGTAAACCCAGTTGCTTATTATGATAACAGTATCAATATTCTCGCGGCAATTAAAATAAATCTACATGTCAGTCAAGTCAAATAGCAATCTGGAATTACATGATCTTTAATACAGCGAATTCTGAAGAAACCAAATTTCCATCCGTACCATTTAATTTTAATTCAAGGACTTTTGGAAGTTGATTATGAGTGTTGTTTAATATTTTGCGAATGGATGCGTGATGCCATAGTAAATAATTTATTTTTGCAAAGTATTCTTTTTTCTGATAAAACACAATTTATCAACACTAAGCATCTTAATAGATACAATATACACTATTGGTCAAACGAAAATATTGTACTGCATACAGTTTCTTTCCAGTATCGTTAGTCACTAAATATATGATGAGTATAATATAGTAATATTATACTCCTCATCATATATTTAGTATAATAGGAGTAATAATTGGCTATTTTGTAATTGGACAATGCTTTTTCGATAGTTCCGTTAATACTGAATTCTATTGTGATTTATTGAGCAATAATTTTTTCTACTTCTAAAAAAATTATCACTTAATGTAAGAAAAGAATTGTAGTATCAACAAAATAGTACACTTCATCTTTTTTTCAGAGCTACGCGTACTTTTTCAACGAAATATATAGTGGCAGATGAATAAGTCAAGGAAGTACTGTCTAATGGTCCCCTCGACCACTTGATCTTACAACTTTGTACTATTTTTTATGGAGCAATATTAAAAAGAAAGTCCGGTATCAACCACCTATGACGAAAGAAGACTTTAAAAGAGGAGTACGTAAAGTTTGCGCTAGCAACGACCCCAGAAATGTTGTTTAATGTCAGACAAAATTTTGTAGAAAGAATTTTGTAGAAAGAATAAGTGTTTAAATGTTAACGGTTATCAGTTTTGCACATTTCATTAACCCATTCGAGACCGATTGCACACCGTGTGTGCAATGGATTTACGTAGCTATAAAACTAGTTGCACACCGTGTGTGCAATAATAATGAAGAGAAATTATCACTCATTCTGAGTAAAGTGGTTGTCGAGATAAGATTTGTTTTCAATTAATATATCTGTAAAATATAGAAAAACAAAATTTGGCATTGGTTTTAACACTATGCCGTCCGCATGTATAATCGGGATTCTTTCTTGTTACTTAAACAGAACACAAACAGAACACCAACAGTACACAATCAGAATACAAACAGCACCAACGTAGTGTCGTCGGCTTTTGAGCATTATTTTATTACCTTTAGAGATTTTTCTAAAAATTTATTCCTCGTTTATATTATTTTCTTCATAACTCAATTTTATTTTTGTGGCTTTTTACTATTTTTTAAAAATTTTCTTTGCATTATATTTTGTTCTTCATTATTGAAAGCAAAATAACGATTTTATGTTATCTAACTATTTTTGACATAAATGTTTATCAATCTTAATGATGAATTTTTATTTTATTTTACATGGCACACATGGTGTTCAATCTGCTCCCCGCAATAAATATTTTCTGAGGAGCGAGCTGCACACACGGTGTGCAATCATCTTATTTGTGTGAATTGACTTACGAATTGTGTGATTTCTATAGTAAACAAGTTTTTTTTATTAAAAATAAACAATATAAAAAAAAATTTCGCTCCTGGGGACCGTGTTCGAAAAAATTCGCCGTCTCGAATAAGTTAAGTAAAAAACAAAAAAAATGTAAGGCCATTTATTTAATTTATGGTTATATTTTTAACTTGAATGTAGTCTATTTTAAAGTTTAAATGTTTATAACTTTTAATGGAAGCATTTTTCAAAGAAATGTTTCAGATAACGTTAAGTTGTTTTTTTTTTCCATAGCATCCAAATATGTAATATTTTATAGAAGGTTCCGTTTGAAATTACGATGTTATCCCCCGTCCTCCTTCAAGAGAGAGAGAGAGAGAGAGAGAGAGAGAGAGAGAGAGAGAGAGAGAGAGAGGAGTAAAATTTTGGTTTACATAGTTTGAAAGACTTCTTAAATACATAAATCTTTCTTATGAACAACTTTTTGAAACAACACATATTTATAGAGTTTTTAGGTTGTAATATTTTACATGGACTACCCTGTGAGAAATGTTAAAAAAGTTGTATGTTCATTTTAGAGTTTATATATTTGAGAATCGCCCATACGTTATCTACACATATCACTTATCAATTTCGTCATCGACTTTGGTGTCTTCTGGTAGATAGTAATAAGTAGGAGTTTACTTATCTCCGTTTATTGTCTTCAGTTTATCAAGAAGTTGTTTTTTGCAGATTAAATAATAATCTAAATTATTCTGTGATTGTGTAGCTTTTAAATGTTGTGCTTTCAAAGGTTTAATGTATCTTACCAGCCGGTAACGTTCTCTGCAGCGTCGCAGGCATCGATCAGTTCATTAAACGCGTTCCCTTTGCCGCAATTCTGCAGTCGTGGATGACCGTTTACGCAGAGGAAGTAATGATGACAGTCAGCATTGCTGCGATAGAATCTGATTTCCCCACCCCGAAAGAAGCTGTTTGTCACCTCCGGACAGCGGAAACCCAGGAAAGCTTCGGCGTCGCAGTCCGATACCTGATCCGGCCAATCGCATCGGTAAATCTCCGGATTAAAGGCTAGACCTTCCGGACAATTGAACACGTATCCCCTACCGTCCACGCAGTTCATGAACTGACCGCAGTTCTTATCGTCGCCAATCTTAAAGTAACCATATTGATGAGGGCAATCCGGAGATGGATCCGCCGGCTCTGAAAACAATTTAGGGAAATGAATACATGAAATGAAAAATATATGTTTGGAATAAAACAAATACAGATATTTTCAAAATTAAATTATTTAAATTTACATAAAAAGTGTCAGAATTTCAAACAATGCACGTAATTGGAGTTAATTCAATAGTAATATTATTAAAACCAATATATTATGTATTACAGATACTACACTTTTGATCTTAGCACATAGTGGCGAGAAGCGTTGTACATTATACATTAATCTCCGCCTGCGGTCGTTGTCTGACGACAACAACCGTTGCTGGTTCCAAGCCCGGATAAAGTGAAAAGGGTTGGAGGGCCAGGCCAGCAACCTACTCTCTGTAAAATGAACTTAAGCTCAAAGTATCGACACGAAGCCTCGGAATTGGACAGATAAAACGATGACGTTTCATGTGAAAAAAAGGAAAACGAGACAATAGAACAGAAATACACTGAGAATAGGTTCGTGGAACATCACATCGTTTAACAACAAAGGCTAAGAAATTGTCAAGGAACTGAACAAGAAAAAAATAATGGTCTGTGCTATACAAAAAACAAAGATGAAAGGTCAATGACAATACGGCGACTATATGTTAGGATGCAATAGTATAAACAAAGAGCAGCCAAGACAGGTGCAGGTATACTCGTACTGATATATAAATGTATAGGGACATCATAAAAAATTGTCAATACATATCAGAAAGAATATTACTTATAAAAATCACACTCGACCACCTGAGGTTAAGCATATTTTCTGTATATAGTGGTAAAGTCTGAAAACCCAAACAAGAAAGAGAAGAGTTCTTCAAGAATCTACAAAATGCGATAGATACAATTCCTACCGAAGAACCCATGGTACTGTTGGGAGATTTTAACGCACGTATTGGCAGAGGGATTGTGCCTGGAATTAAACAGCGTTTTAATGAGGAACATCTTAACTCAAGTGGAGAACTAATGGTCAACTTCTGTGCCTATAATGAACTAAGAGAAAACAATACATTCTTCGACCACAAAGACCAGTATAAATACACGAGAGTATATTAATCGGTACACGATTATGTAACAACGAATAAAAAAATACATCCCATTCAAATAATGGATATCTGAGTCCTGAGTTCCGCGAATGCAGGAAGTGAACATGGTCTAGTGCTGGGAAAGGTTAAACTAGGGATGAAGATGAGAAAACAAGCGCAGAATATAACAGTAGAAAAGATTAATGTGGAGTTCTTATGGAATCAATCAACTAAGGAATTATATCAGGAAAGACTAGCAGAGAAGATCGCGAGAAGTCCGATCAGCATGGAGGAAAGTATAGATGGGAGTTGGTGGGAAAGGATAAGGAAGAACGTAGAGAATGCTGCAAGAGAGGCGCTAGGAGTGCGGAATATCGCAACTAACAGGAAAGGGATTAGGAGTAGAACACCGTGGTTTTGTCAAGAGATAAAAGAGAAATGTAAGGAGAAACGGAAGGTCTACTTGCAATACAAGACTATTGAGAACAGCAGATTCTTACAAGCATTACAAACTAGTTAGGAATGAGACCAATACGGTAGTAAGGTAAAACATGAACACTTGGAACGATTCTCTAAAAAGTTGGAAGGAGATTTCTACAGTGTACAAAAGCAAATACGGCGAGTGATTAAACATCAATGGAAAGAAGTAGCGGAATTATGTGAAGTAAATCGAATACTGGTGGATACATGGGAAAAATACTTAACGGACTTATTTAGAGAAAGCGAAAATAAGAAACAAGTGCAACAACAACAACAAACATACCACATATAAAGCAAGATGTAGAAATCAACATACAAGAGTTAAACAAAACGCTACAGTCGTTGAAAAAATAGGAAATCTCCTGGTCAGGACGGCATACAAGACGAACTGCTAAAATATGGGGGCCAAAGCTTAGCAGAAGAAATGAGAACCCTAATACAAACAATTAATACAAACAATTAAAAATCAATGTGAAATATCAAATAGATGGAGGATTACCATAAATATACTAATGTTTAAAAAAGGAGATAAGCATAAGCTATCCAATTATAGAGGTATAAACCTGTTACACAAGGCGCTGAAACTTAGCACAAAAATCATCACTAACAGAATCAACGAAATTATACCCTCGTCAGAAGAACAGCAAGGTTTTAGATCCGGAAGGTATTGTGTGGATGCTGTATTCATCCTAAGACAGGTGGTCGAGAAATCAATGGAATATAATAAACTTACCTATGCTTCTTAGATCTAACAAAAACCTTTGACCGCATTAGAATTGAGGACGTATTACACCTACTATATAATAGGTATATTCCAATTAACATATTACAAACAATAGATACAAAGACAATTAAATACAAGCGTGTGTCAATAGTCAACTAACAGAAATCATCTCAGCGAACAAAGGCATCAGGTAAGGAGACTCCTTGAGCCCATTATTATTTAACATTTTAATAGACGAAATAGTTAAGGGAGTACGTGCTGGGGCAGGCTATAGAATGGGAGATGAAGAGGTAAAAATTCTTTGTTATGCGGACGCTGTATTACTTGCAGAAAGCGAAGATGACCTTCAAAGGCTATTATATATGTTCAACACAACAGCAAAATAGTATAATATGGTGATATCAAGTGAAAAGATAAAATGCATGACTACATCAAAGGGGCTAACCAAATGCAAACTTGAAGTAAATAACCAAATAATACAAGAGATGAAATTTAAATACTTTGGTATAGACATAACGAGATATGGAAACGTAAAGGAAGAGATGCAATAAGAAGTAATCAAAGCCAACAAAGTAGCAGGATGCCTGAACGATCTGATCTAGCGAAATAAGCATTTACGGAATGACACAAAAGCCAGAATTTATAAAACATCGATGAAACCAATTATGACATACACTGCAGAGACAGGACCAGATACGGCGAGGACAAGGCAACTACTGCAGACTACAGAAATGAGAATACTGAAAAGGATATCGGGAAAAACGTTGAGGAATAGAGAGAGAAATGAGAACATCAGGCGAGCATACAACGTGGAAAACATCAATGATGATAGAACAGACATTAGTCTAAGATGGGAGAAAGAACAAGAAAAAAATATTATATATTATTCCAATAATTCAAATATTGCTTTCAATGATATTGTTATTGTAACAAAAAAATTCACTTTAATTATGCGTAGTGTTGGAAATTCTATTCCTTTCAACAGCACTTCCTGATCAAAAACCTTTACGTAAATAAATAAATAAATATGTATATATATATAAATAAATAAATATATATATATATATAAATATGTATAAATAAATAAATAAATAAATAAATAATAAATAAATAAATAAATAAATAAATATATATATATATATATATATATATATATATGAGTGCATGTATGTATATATGTGCCGGATATTTCAGGCCACCTGTGCTCGCCATTTAAAAATGAAAGAAATAATTATTTTGTAAAATGTTTCAGACGAAAATTGTTGGTAATCAAATAATGCATTACATGGGCATATGTAAATGACCTTGGATGACGTAATGAAGGTCATGTTAAAGTTGAATTGAATTTTTTTAACGGGAATATCTTTCGTTACATATTCTTATAGCTGACATTAAGACGTTTTTGAAACACTGGTCATAAGTCATTTTTAGTTGAAGTGTTCCTGAGGTATGTGACTTCAAAATTTTAGTACTGTCATGGTTAACATTACTTAAGATGTATCGCATGGAGATCGCACGTTTGGACTTATACCTCTTCGGGGTGTTTGATTAAAGTGAGTTCCCTTGCCTTTCACGTGTATGCGCGTGCGTGCGCGTGTGCGCGCGTGTGTGTGTGTGTGTGAGCACAGCCAGAAATATGGACCCCGAACAATTACGTCGTAGCAGATGTTCCAAGTTTGCCTATGAAACAAAAGCTTAAGGGATCGATATTATTATCATACCATTTGAAATTTTGCACTTAGATTTAGGTAATATTTGTCGCCATAAATAACAATTTTTATGAACATTTCTTCAACGTTTATTTGACTAATGTATAACGGCAAATTAATAAGTATTCGTGTTAGTAATGACACAAGTTTTTCAAAAAAATTTTTTTCTTTTTCAACATAATCTCCTTTCAAGAGAATACACTATTCCCAACGCCCCTGTCATTTTTTAACCCCTCTGAAAAATACGACTTGCCGCACTCTGCAAAATAGGCCTTTTTTCGGCGATAACCTTCACATTTGACGTGAATCTCTTTTCACCCAACAATTTTTCCAAGTTTGAAAACAGGAAGAAGTCGCACGAGGCCAAATTCAGAGAATACGGTGAATGCGGTGAATGCGGCAGCAACTCGTAGCGCAATTTGACTAATTTGGTTGTGGCGACTACGGAAGAGTGAGCCGCTGCATTGTTGTGGCGGAACAACACTTTTTTTTTGCCAAATGGAGCCGTTTTTCTTCAATTCAATATCGAATCAGCCCAATTAGACAATATAATACTGCCCCGTAATAGCTTTTCTCTTTTACAAATAATCGATGAAGATCACGTCATGCGAATCCCAAAGAACAGTGGCCATCACCTTTCCTGCTCATGGGACGGCCTTTGCCTTCTTCGGAGCACGTTCGCTGGGTGCAGTTCACTTTTAATTATTCCTCGGTCTCCGGTGTGTAGTGGTAGATCAATGTTTCATCATCGGTTATGACTCGACGCAAAAACTCCCGCGAACTGCGCTTTAATAGCTCCAAACATTGATTCGAAATTAATACCCGCATACGCTTGTTATCCACTGTGAATAATCACGGCACCCATCGGGGCAAGAGCTATTTCAATCCCAAGTTATCATGAAAAAAAATTGAACGACGTTCCATAGGACACGTCTATGGCCTTTGCTACTTCACGCACATTCGTTTGGTGATCAACGAGAATCATGTCGTGGAACTTTTCAACGATTTCCTCTGTAACCATGTGGGGTGGCCTGGGCGCTCTTCATCAAGAAGAGATGAACGATCACATTCGAAATTGTTGAACTAATATCTAACGGTTGTCATAGATGGTGAAGGGTTTCAATAGACGGCATCCAATTCGTTTTTATTTCCTCTAACGTTTTTCAATATAAAAATAAAGAAAGAATCACAGATCGATATTGCTCATTTTGCATTGTATCGAAAAACGTCAACCACAGTCACTACGATTTGCTGTTAAATAAAAATAATCGCATAAATCACATTGAAATATTGTATAATGTCGTTTGAAAGATGGCAATACACTATGTATTGCCAAACTGCATTAGCAACTCCGTCTGTCTTCAAATACGAGTACTAATTGATTTGCCTTTGTACATTTCCGCTTGCGAATTCGAAGTCTACCGATCCTTCGGCTTGCAAACACGTCAGCGTCTTTCGCTCTGACGATTCCATCGTCGTCTTCCCGACTCGTGCTCATATCTCGAGCTATTCCTCCTATCGAAATAATTCAGTTCAGGTTAGTTCAGTATCATAGTTATAGCCACGTCTTATTCGAATCAAGAAGCATATGATATGTTGCAAATTTTGAGAGAGTGTCGAGGTGCATTCGCTGCACCGGAAAGATTATGGTGAAAAAGTTTTCCTGATCGAATTCTTCACTCACGTAACGTTTTCTAATGTTTCGATAACCGAATCAGAACCAAAGGTACCATTTAGCTTCAACATTACAAAAGTCGACAGACTCGACGTCCATTAGGGTTGAAAGAGCAGCGGAAATTACTGCATCGGCAGAATTGAACTCTCAAGATTCCTGGAATCGCCGAGAAATAGATTCTGGAGCTAGTCGTGTCAGTAAATGACGCATTTTGAGTCAAAACAATTTTCATCCTTACCAATGTCTCTTCACCAAGTTGTGAATAATGATGATTGTTAAAGTAGATTTGCATTTTGCAATACGAGGTCTGGCTATTAAATAACGAGACTGCGCGCGCAGAAGTCGTTCTTGAGGGGAAGGAGGGGGGGGGGGGACAAATGCAGCGTTGGATAGATGGAAGTGTCTACTATTCCAGTACGAAAACTTGTTTTTATCGCTGTAGTAGTATTTTTTCTATAGAGGTTAGAAACGAACGTGTTTTTTCTCGTGCCAATAACAATGTGTGACGAAAAACACGAGCAACAGATCAATGTGAAATTTCTCGTTAAATTAAAAAACACTCCGACTGAGTGCTATAACTTGTTGAAAGAGATCTATGGTGAGAATTCTCTATCTCGGGCGCGTATTTTCGAATAGTATAAACGGTTTTCTGAAGGCCGAGAAAGCACCGAAGATGACCAACGTCTAGGTCGACCTGTCTCTGTTTCAACTCCGCAAACAGTGATCAAAATCAATGAAATTGTGCCCGGAGATCGTCGTATAAGCGTTAGGATGATTGTTGAGACTGTAAACGCTGATAAAGAAACTGTCAGAAAAATTTTACATGACGAATTGAACATGAAGAAAGTCTGTGTGAAGTTGGTCACAAAAAATTTGACCCCTGACCAAAAGTTTGTCCGTCAACAGATCTGCTCAGATTTTCTTGAAAGGTTAGATGAAGAGCCT